TAATAAGTTTGTTCCGGGATCTGTACACCTCATGGTTCCTAGGAAGCCATAGAGGGCTGTGGTTGGATGACATATCTTGTAGCCGACAGGCTTAGCGCAACAAGGTCGACTAGTCGATGATGCCCGGTATTATTGCGAAGTTCGCGCCAAACACATCTCTGCAATAAAAACACTTTGGGCGGCGTCGTTCAATTGTCCCATATTGGCCACGGCATCGCAAATGGTCGTAGCTTCAATGGTGTTTTGCTCCTGGCGCAACTAGAGCCATGGAGGTGTTTGGCGGCTGCGATCACGCGCTTGGAGATAGTTCCTTGTTACGCCAAGAGTCGGAGGAACTCCGAGCAAACTTCTTGAGGTACATCAGCTGGGCAGTTCTTGAAAATAACGGTCTCTGTAGGCCTCGACGGCGCAGGCGCGACGATCTGGTGGAAGCTCAGGTTGTGTCTCTTTGGAGGGCTTTTCTTCGGGCGGTGGCGATGTCTTAGATTCCCCACCATAGCCAAACCAGAAGATAGCGAGAGACGCGCCTTCAAAGAATCGTTGCTTTGGAAAGCGCGTCCCATCCAATGATTCGGGTTCGACCGCCAGTTGTCCGTCCTGGCGCTCGATAGTTGCTCCACGATGCGTGAGTAAAATGTCCTGCGGCAGTCGTCGTTGCGCTCGGGCGTGGGCGATTTGAATTCGCACCAGCTCGAACGGTACCAGGTTAGCAATCTCTACATAAAGGGGATCTGTGTGAGGCTGACCAATGTCATCTCGAAGGCGCGCCTGGTCTTGTCGAGCACGTCCACCCACGCTACAGGGTCTTGCATTTCTCTTCATAAAAGATCTCATTGGGCGAGCTCTGGGGAGTTGGCGCGCCATAGATAGAGCTTCCGGATAGGTTCTCCGCGGCATAGGCGTCGTCCGTTGAAGAAGAATGGAACTGGAGGCTGCGGTGATGTGTTTTGTTTTGAGGGAGCTGCATCCCACACTTCCATGTGATTCTACATTCCAGGCGCTGGGTATATAAAGCTGCCGCCGATTCCCTGACCGCTTGACGCGACGGCGCTCGCAATCCGTAGTCGCCAGGTAGCGCCACAGCCACGGAGGCGGCGGAGGTCGATCCAGGTGCATCCGCCACCCTGACTCATAGGCGGGCGTCGCTTGAGCGGGACAGAAGATATAAGACGCACTCCCGCACAAGCCCTTGACTGCACTCTGCATGCATCTCTTGGTGGGAAAATTACAACTAGACGACGGGTGGCCCGAGAGCGAGACATGTGATTGTCCAGTACTGTGGAAAAGACATCGGTAAAGAAAGAAAGAAAGGATGGACGCGAAGGAGTGACAGTGTGGATGCGCAGGTGTCATATAGATGTATGGAGGTGGAGAGGTAGATGTATGGATGCGAGCGTGCGAAGATGTAAATGGGCAGAGGCGGCAGGGGCGAGAGAAAAGATATATCTTAGGTTCGTCAGAAGTCAGTCGCTCTTCAAACGGCTGCAGACAAGTCAGTCTCATTTCAAGACAAAAACGAAGTAAACCGTCAGCAGGTCGAAGCGCGCGCAAAATGGATTTGCGCGCGCTTCATCCTGGTCCCAAAAACAAGCGGCGAGTAGAGATCCTGCGAGCAGAGGCTCAAAGCAAATCAGTTTGACTGCAAGTATCAGACACAGAGAAAGCACGCAGTATGTGTGCTTCCAGTCATCATCTCCACTCTCGTGGATAGGCCCTTCAAAGCACCAACGCTGCGACCTGAGAGCAAACGACATTACGATCAGGACAAGTGACTCGTGCGTTCCAACTGCGCATCGATTGTCGCGCAGGTGAAGTAGACACTTGCAACATCATCACGTCCCTTTTTCCGGCAGTTGCGGATCCCGTCGTCTAAGCGATGATGTCGCAGTTTCGTCCCGAACAGTCTCGACGGACGACCCGCGACACAAACTAGTCTCGGTGCGCCGTGCTGAAGTCTCTCTGCCGTTCCGCGCGCAAACCTTCCAGGTGCCACAACGCTTCCAAGACATAGGCTCGATTGCGCCAAGGACGCAACGCTGGTCTTTTTTGAAGTAGCAACTGCACGGCTTCCAGTGCGGAGTGCTCGTAAGCGACAAACGAGCCAAGACAAAATCCCCGCGCTCCGATTGATGCCACCAAAGCAGTGAAAGAGCACGCGCATGGATTTGCCCCCGGCGACCGCCAGCATGGACTGTTTCCATAACTGGTTGCAGACGATTTTCCACTCTCATCTTCCAGCTCCCCAGATACTCCACGCACTAAAGTTGTACTACAAAGTCGCCAGTTCTCAGCTTCCAGCTCCACAGATTGCTCCGCGTACTACAGTTGTACTACAAAGTCGCCAGTTCTCATCTTCCAGCTACCCAGATACCCCGCGTACTAAAGTTGTACTACAACTTCGCCAGTTCTCATCTTCCAGCTCCCCACCTACTCCGCGCACTACAGTTGTCTACAAAGTCGCCAGTTCTCATCTTCCAGCTCTCCCCAGATACCCCGCGTACTAAAGTTGCACTACAACTTCGCCAGTTCTCATCTTCCAGCTCCTCAGATACTCCGCGTACTAAAGTTGTACTACAAAGTCGCCAGTTCTCAGCTTCCAGCTCCACAGATTGCTCC